GCTCGGGCGGCGGCACGGGCGGCTGGGGCAGCTCGGTGGCGGCTCACGGGCGGCTGGGACGGCGCGCAGGGAGCTCACGGGCGGCTGGGCGGGCGGCCAGGGCGGCTCACGGGCGGCGGCGGCGGCGTCGGCGGCTCACGGGCGACGGCGGCTCACGGGCGGCGGCGGCGGCGTCGGCGGCTCAAGGGCGGCGGCGGCGGCGTCGGCGGCTCACGGGCGACGGCGGCTCACGGGCGGCGGCGGCGGCGTCGGCGGCTCAAGGGCGGCGGCGGCGTCGGCGGCTCACGGGCGGCGGCGGCGGCGTCGGCGGCTCACGGGCGACGGCGGCTCACGGGCGGCGGCGGCGGCGTCGGCGGCTCAAGGGCGGCGGCGGCGGCGTCGGCGGCTCACGGGCGACGGCAGCGGCGTCGGCGGCTCACGGGTGGCGGCGGCGGCGCGGCTGCTCACGGGCGGCGTCGGCAGCTCACGGGCGGGCTGAAGGCCCACGGGTGGGCGGTTCGCGGGCAGCGCCGGCTCACGGGCGGGCGGCGTGACGGGCGGGCGGCGGGACGGGCGGCGACGTCACGGGGGGGGGGGGGGCGACGGGACGGGCGGCGGCGTCACGGGCGGCGGTTCACGGGCGGCTGCGTCACGGGCGGCGCTCACGGGCGGCGCTAAAGGGTGGCGACGGGCGGCGGCTCACGGGCGGCGCTACGGGCGGCGGCTCACGGGGGGCGCTACGGGCGGCCGCACGGGCGGCGCGAACGGGCGGCCGCACGGGCGGCGCTACGGGCTGCGCAAAGGGCGGCGCGAAGGGGCAGCCGCACGGGCGGCGCTAACGGGCGGCGCTAACGGGCGGCGCGAACGGGCGGCTCGAAAGGGCGGGCGCTAGGGCGGGCGCTAGGGCGGGCACTAGGGCGGGCGCCAGGGCAGAAAAAAGTTCTAGGTGGTGGGCCCGAAGCACAGTTCCCACAGGGGAACCTGCTCTGATTCCATGTGAAGAAGAGAACGAGAGAATATGTGAACTATGAACGAAGTGAGTACAAATAGGAAACCCTAGCTGGGTTGTACCCCCTATGGGATACCCCACTATAGCCTACACAAATAAGTAAGCTATAATGTTCTGACACTATGTCATATAAATCTGACACAGGTGACAATGGACTTCGTCACGGGGTTACCGGCCGGGGCGAGTGGGAACGACGCGATCCTGGTTGTCGTCGATCGACTGACGAAAATGGCACACTTCGCCGCCTGCAAAAATATCAATCACAGCCGAAGACACAGCCCGCCTCTTCATCTCCACCGTCGTTCGACTGCACAGGATACCAGCAGCGATAATTAGCGACCGCGACACGAGATTCACCAGCAACTTCTGGCGGAACCTGTGGCAGCAGTTTGGCACGCGACTACAGTTCAGTTCTTCGTACCACCCCGAAACCGACGGACAGATAGAACGGACAAACCAGACTATGGAGCAACTCATCCGAGCCACGTGCGACGACCCAACCACCTGGGAACAACAGCTGCCACTCATTGAGTTCGCATACAACAACTCACCATCCGCCACGACCCAACAGACACCATTTTATCTGAACTACGGACAAGACCCGACAGTACCCATGACCCCGAATCCCGACAACCCGGTGCCACGAGCACAACACTTCGCTGAAATTCTACAAGCAGCACGGACCCGGGCAGCAGACGCAATAAAAAAATCAAACATCATCGCTAAACGTAACGCCGACCTGTCACTTACCGACCTAACGACCTATTTTTACTCGACACTCAGAACCTCTGACTGCCCATCACCCCAAAACTCCGCCCCCGATATTGTGGGCCATTTCGCATAAGCCACATGATTACGCCCGTCACCGCCCACCTCCTCCTCCCCGCTGACTGGTACGTCAGCCCCTCATTCCACATCAGCCTGCTTCGCCCTTACGTCCCGTCCACAAGCCAACTGCCACGAAATCGCCCCAGCCAGCATGGCACGACCGCCGACTGAACCAATCATCACACCCGAGAAAATTCTGAGCCACAGAGTTCGTGACCCTCGAGGAGCCCGAAGGATCGAGTTCCTGATCCGCTGGAAAGACCGTACACCCACCGAAGACAACTGGGTTCCCATGGACAGAGTCGAAAACCACCCCGTCCTCACAGAGTATCTGCGCAGTCGAAACTTCAAGGATGTACACGCACTTTCGTAAGGAGGACCTCCTTAGGGGGGGGGGGGGGGGGGGGTAGTGTAAGGAAAATTCCTTTTCCTTACTTCGCGTCCACACTCAGCGCGTACACCATTGTAGCACCACAGTCAGCACCGTTACCACTCGCAAACCCTCGCATCGACAATCCTCCCGCCACTTTCGCACGTCGCACCCCGACCTCACGGCTCGGCGGGTAACCCGCGCTCCGGGCCTCCGCTTCGACATTTTCCCAATCCTCAGTCCCACGCCCGTCGCGCGACAACCACAGTCCATTACCGTTACCACTATAGTTTCACTAAATATTCTTCGCTCATGACTTCGCTCATTGTACTCTTGCTTAGATAGTGCAATTCTCGCTCGCTCACTCAATTGCACTCGTAACACTTTCCCTTCTTTTCCTCTTTCTATCTAGGACCATGAGATATTCAGGTGTCAGGGTCATCCCTAGGTTTTGAACCTACCTGATGGGTTAGATGGCGTGATTTTCTCTGTCTGACTACGGTAGTGGGGGATTGATTTGAGTATGTCAAGCAGCATCACACACGGCGACGAGGATGGCAGCTAGGTGAGCCAAGCCACGAGCAGTCCCAGAAAATGACAATTGAGCCTCTTTATCTATTATGAAAAGTTTTGTTTCAAGCGAGGTATATTCCTCCACAATGCGCAAGGCTCGGTGCCGTTCCGCGTTGCGTGTGACTCGCTGGAGGTAGATCCGATCAGCGCGAGTGCAAACATAGCCATCGCGCGCCGCAGCATTCCGTCGGAGTCCGTCATCGTCGGGAAGGCGAGCCTCGCGTGGGCCGCTGGACGAGCGACCGCCAGCCAGATAAGGCGCGCCGAGCTGCCAGCCGGATAAGGCGCGCCGAGCTGCCGGGCCGCGCAGCGTGGAGCGCCCGCAGCTGTCACCCGCTTCGATACTCCCAGGCGCCACGCGAGGCGGCGAGGCGCCATGGATCGCGGCGGCGGGCCGACGCGAGTGCTGCGCGCGCAGCAGCCGCTGCAGCACTCGCTGGTGGTGACGGTCAGCGTCATCATGACGGCGTGCCTTGCGCTCATGGTGAGGCGATGCGTTCATGGTGAGGCGATGCGCTCATGGTGAGACGATGCGGTCATGGTGAGACGAAACGATATGATGGCGGTTAGAAAGAAGGAGCTTGCGTGAGTGAACGATCGTGATGCGCGCAGATGTTTATGGTGGGGCATGGCTTGAAGGCAACAGAATGGCGCGACACGAATGCTGTCGCATGTGAGTGTTGTTCCCGCACTGGGCGTCATTGTGCCCCCCTGGGCGTGCGTGCGGGCTCGTTCGCAATCATGCACGTTCGAGTCCTGCTGCCGTCGCCAGTGCTGCCGTCGCCAGTGCTGCCGTCGCCAGTGCTGCCATCGCCACTGCTGCCATCGCCAGTGCTGCCATCGCCACTGCTGCCATCGCCAGTGCTGCCATCGCCACTGCTGCCATCGCCAGTGCTGCCGTCGCCACTGCTGCCATCGCCAGTGCTGCCATCGCCACTGCTGCCGTCGCCAGTGCTGCCAGGGCCACTGCTGCCAGGGCCGTGTCACCCCTCCCTCCACGCCCACCCTCGCCTTCCTCTTCCCACCGCTTCCGCGCTCCCTTCGCCCTTCCCTCCCCCCATGACCCACTGGACCCCCCTTTCCGTACCCTCCCGCCCCCCGTGCCCGTGGTGGGCAGTACATGCTGGTGTCGCGGCACCTCGCCAGCATGGACCAGATCGCCCTCGCCCTCACTGAGAGGTACCGCCCGCCTCTCACTCACACTCCCTCCCTCTCACACTCACTCTCTCCCTCTCACACTCACTCTCCCTCTCACACTCACTCTCCCTCTCACACTCACTCTCTCCCCATCACACTCACTCTCTCCCTCTCACACTCACTCTCACAATCTCTCACTCTCACACTTCCACACCACACTCCTAGACTTCTACATTCTCACGCTTGCACATACACATGAGCAAACATTCCAACTCCTGTTCAGTTCGACTCCAACGTGCTCGAATGGAATTTTTGCCCAATATTGGGTTCATCACGAACACGTTCGACTGTTCGAGTGTTTGTGTGCAGAAAAATGCACGAACACCTAGGTGTTCGCGAACACAATGTGTTCGTCGCAAACACCTAGGTGTTCGTGCATTTTTCTGCGCGTCAAATTTTGACGCGCTGGTTGGATCTAAAATGTGGGGGTGACGATTGAGCTTAGAGAATGAGCTCAAGCCTAAGGATGGCATTCTGCCCCCTACCCACTTAAAGTAACACATTCCCACGGTTAAAATTCCACTTTGTGGCAGGAAACGTTAGGTATAAGTTTGACTGGGGTAGGAGACGGTTAAAAAAAGGAACTAAGGGCATTACGGTTTAGGTTGGAGTTTAGCAAGGCGAAATTGAATGTCCACCAGATCTGCACCAAGCCTAACTATATCTTTTGTAGGGCTATAGGAAACGTGAAATTGCTTCTAGTACACTCGCCCTGCCTGAATGTGACTATACTGAAAGAACCCCCCAAGGCAAACTGTTCGAGTTCGGGTCAAACACCTTAGTGTGCAGCCTTGCCTCAAAACTGTTCGACCCTATACTCGAACGGGGAACACTAGCATTTAAGAAAACTGTTCGAGACAAACGTGTTCGGTTCGGTTCGAATTGACCAAGTGTTCGCAAACTGTTCGAGACAAACGTGTTCGGTTCGGTTCGAATTGACCAAGTGTTTGCAAACTGTTCGAGACAAACGTGTTCGGTTCGGTTCGAATCGACCAAGTGTTCGCAAACTGTTCGAGACAAACGTATTCGGTTCGCTCGTTGCTCATGTCTACTTGCACGGTCTCATTCGCGCCTTCCGTTGGCCACCCACTCTCCCCCGCGCGCTGCCCTCCCAGCGGTGGCGCATCGCAGCATGCGCCTGCCATGCCAGCCAGGCCACAGCCGCTCAACACGGCGTGCTGCCCTCTGTCACACGACGTGCTGCCCGCTGCCTTGCTCTTCCTCTCCCACTTTGCGCATCCTCCCATGCCCCCTCTTCCCCCTTTTCCCTCCCGATACCCATGCCGTGCCCCCCCCCGCCCCCCTCGACACGACAGCATATCGGAGCAGACAACGAACCAGGCGGTGGAGGTGAAGGCGCTGGTGGCGGCGCTGGAGAACCACACCTACTCCGTGGCGGCGGCCGTCACGGACCACGTCGCCGTGCAGACTGTGCAGCTGCGCCAGGCTGGCGGCGGAGCTGCGCAACCACTCGCACTTCGTGAGGGAGCACGTGGGGCAGCACGTGGACGCGCAGCAGGCGCAGCTGGCGGAGGTGGTGGCGGAGCTGAGGGCGCGCATGGGCGAGGTGGCGTCCGCCGTCATGGCGCCCCCCCGCCCCCCCTCTGCCTGACAGCGCCATCACCTCCTCCAACCTCACTCTGCTCGTTGCCGCCGGCCTGCGGTCCCAGGTGGGGGTGCCATCCCAGGTGGGTGGGTGCCATCCCAGGTGGGTGGGTGCCATCCCAGGTGGGTGGGTGCCATCCCAGGTGGGTGGGTGCCATCCCAGGTGGGGGGTGCCATCCCAGGTGCGCTGTGGTGGCCATCCCAGGTGCGCTGTGGTGGCCATCCCAGGTGCGCTGTGGTGGCCATCCCAGGTGCCAGGCAAGCTCGGGTCGCATGGAGTTGGCTGTGAGGGGGTGGGACCGGTGGATGGACAGCACAGGTGGCTGTGAGGGGGTGGGACCGGTGGATGGACAGCACAGGTGGCTGTGAGGGGGTGGGACCGGTGGATGGACAGCACAGGTGGCTGTGAGGGGGTGGGACCGGTGGATGGACAGCACAGGTGGCTGTGAGGGGGTGGGACCGGTGGATGGACAGCACAGGTGGCTGTGAGGGGGTGGGACCGGTGGATGGACAGCACAGGTGGCTGTGAGGGGGTGGGACCGGTGGATGGACAGCACAGGTGGCTGTGAGGGGGTGGGACCAGGTGGATGGACAGCACAGGTGGCTGTGAGGGGGTTGGGACCGGTGGATGGACAGCACAGGTGGCTGTGAGGGGGTGGGACCGGGGATGGACAGCACCGGTGGCTGTGCTGCCATGCCACGCTCAAGTGAGGCAGGTTGAGGATTGCCTTGGGATTTCATGGTGACCTCACCAAGGCATGAGAAGAAAGTACTCAACTCGAGCAGCGTCAAAACAGCAAACTGGCCAGACCGAACTGCTTCGATTCGGGTTGAATTGTAACTTTGAGCCGATTTTTTTAGGTTTGACCCGAACCTGTTCGGTTCGGTTTTGTGTTCAACACGAACCAGAAACGCGTCGAACTAAGTGATATTGCAATGAATTTCACGTTAGGATCAAATCAAAGTAAGGTTCGATGCGAAGCAGTTTGCATCAAACCGAACCACTGTCTGTGTGTCCCGTTTGGTACTTTGGTGATGTGCAATCTCCCGTCAGGGTCTCGTCGTGACTGATCCGATTGAGTCAAGCCAGCTTGACTCGTCGTGACTGATCCGATTGAGTCAAGCCAGCTTGACTCGTCGTGACTGATCCGATTGAGTCAAGCCAGCTTGACTCGTCGTGACTGATCCGATTGAGTCAAGCCAGCTTGACTCGTCGTGACTGATCCGATTGAGTCAAGCCAGCTTGACTCGTCGTGACTGATCCGATTGAGTCAAGCCAGCTTGACTCGTCGTGACTGATCCGATTGAGTCAAGCCAGCTTGACTCGTCGTGACTGATCCGATTGAGTCAAGCCAGCTTGACTCGTCGTGACCTGATCCGATTGAGTCAAGCCAGCTTGACTTCGTCGTGACTGATCCGATTGAGTCAAGCCAGCTTGACTCGTCGTGACTGAATCCGATTGAGTCAAGCCAGCTTGACTCGTCGTGACTGATCCGATTGAGTCAAGCCAGCTTGACTCGTCGTGACTGATCCGATTGAGTCAAGCCAGCTTTGACTCGTCGTGACTGATCCGATTGAGTCAAGCCAGCTTGACTCGTCGTGACTGATCCGATTGAGTCAAGCCAGCTTGACTCGTCGTGACTGATCGATTGAGTCAAGGCCAGCTTGACTTCGTCCGTGACTGATCCGATTGAGTCAAGCCAGCTTGACTCGTCGTGACTGATTCCGATTGAGTTCAAGCCAGCTTGACTTCGTCGTGGACTTATCCGATGAGTCAAGACAGCTTTGACTCGTCGTGACTGATCCGATTGAGTCAAGCCAGCTTGACTCGTCGTGACTGATCCTTGAGTCAAGCCAGCTTGACTCGTCGTGACTGATCCGATTGAGTCAA